AGTAGTAACTGTGGGCCGGTGCCTAAAGTGTCAGCCAACGGCTGCACCCTAGATAATATAATATTGGGAGGATGAAATCCTCTTTAATGGACACCACATGCAGAGCACACAGCACACACAGTGAAGATTGTTCTCTGCATATCATCCTAGTACAGTAGTAGTAGACTAGAGTCTAGTACTAGGAGCAGTAAATACCACGATTTATAGCGCTACTGCAATCAAAACCATACGTTACCGGGAGCGGGAGAGCGAGAGCACTGCCCTCACCGGCTGAGTTAAATAATGAAGCTTAACAGTACATGCAAGGTGTTAGCCAAGCTGGCTGCTGCTAACAATCAAGCAACCAAGTCAAAACACATGTTAAGACCAGATAATAGCTTCTATGGAATAGAACAGCCCGCATAAAACCGTTAGGCCATGGTCACAGTAGGTAAACCATGGCCAGTTGCTTACATGGCTCGGACCGTAGTTACAGTAGTAACTATGGCCAGTACTTACCTTACTCTCTGCATCTAAACAAAACGGGCAAAATATGGCACACTGGGCTTTCCATACTACATTAAATGAGAGACGCAGCTTAAGCTGGGACTCAAATGCTAATGATAGCTCGGGCACAACGCCACCAAGCAGAACTTTCAAAAGAGCATAATAAGGGCAACTTTATGGGAGAGGAAGCGGGAACACTGTCGTCACCAGAAAGTCTAAGCCAAACCAATAAATAAGACCAGCAATCAGGACAACTTAGCTGGGAGAGGGTGCGGGGACACAGCCATCACCAGCAACAAGTTGACACAAACCTGTGCGTCGAGGCTCTGCCACAGCGCACAGCCGGCCCACAGCTCCTGGAGGAAGCGTTGTTAACAACCCGTAGCTCCGACTGTCAGTCGCGAAGCTGCACGCGGCCAGCTGCTTGCAGATGAAATCCCTCATATCAACGTTCAAACCTTGAACGCTTGTAGGCTACAAGAATGTAGCCGCGGTACTCTCGCGAAGCGAGCAAGATGAAAGGAAACCGATCCACTAGTGACGCCGGCCTATGTAGCCGTAGTCACGTGGATCACAGGTGACTTGTTTGTTATTAGGTACTCGAACGCGCATGCGTGCGATTGGACATCATCCAGTGCTAAAAGCACCGCCTCTGGCGGTCAGTAGGGACGAAATAGAACTGAATCGCTACACACTGAAATGAACACACTAAGAACACCCATGATAAGCTTGGACAAAAAACACTCACCCTGCTGAATATGAAAACTGGACTTGAAATGTTTCAAATACACGGAACATAGATCACAAGACATTGAAAAGGATATGACCCTGAAAATTATTTCTACAATAACACCATAACCAATGTGAATACTACACAGAAGATCAACTCAAAAGAAATGGAATGATGGATGGATCAATATCAATACTTACATTTTCATAGCAGAAGCCTCATTTCAACTGTATCAAAGATCAAATACTGTTTAAGGCAATGGAGAAACATGTTACAGCCCTAGACAACATCAGAGACCTGGCTTAGTGAGGAGCAAGCTGACATGGTTGAAATCGAGGTATACAACCTGTTTTTTACTAATAGGGACACATTCTAAAGGTGGGGGGACTGCACTTTATATTAACAAAAGTTACACACTGTTGTATATCAGTAATATCAAGTAATATCAAGTAAACAGTATTTGATCTTTGATTACATTTGAAATGAGGCTTGCTGCTATTAAAATGTCATATTACTGACAGACAGTAGATCTGTCAGTAATATGTATTTCGCTGTAGACAACATTATGGAATGCATAAACAGTAGAAATTGAAATGAAAACATCTAAAAACCTTCTGATAAGCTGCGTGTATAGAAACCAGGATCATGTATTGAAACATTTGAGAAAAAGCTAGCTGTACTTTATAACTACCCAAGCAGCAAGAAAATGCTCTTTGTATGTGGAGATTTAACATTGATTTGCTGAACCCACAAGAAACACAATGCAACTACAGAATTTATTAATTCTAGTATAGCAACAGTTTATATCCTACAATCACACGACCAACAGAATAACATCACACAGTGCTACACTCATTGACAACATATTCACAAATGTTATGGATAGGAAAGTAATAAGTGGAATATTAATCAATGACACAAGTGATCACTTGCCAGTCTTTGCAACAATACAGAACTGTACTAGGATCGAAAAAGACACCAGAAAAGTCACAATTACAAGACACAAAACACCAGAGTCTGTTAATTATTTTTAAAGAAGAATGATCTAAACAAGACTGGAACAAAGTGTATGTACCAGATGCAAATGAAGCCTATGAATAATTTCTACATATTCTATCAGGGCTGTATGAAAACATTGTCCTCGTGTAAAGAAAATAGTGAAACAAAAATATGCTGAAAAACCATGGATCACTAAGGGAATATTAAATGCATGTAAAACGAAAAATGAATTATATAAAGACTTCTTAAAGAATGGATCAGTAGAGGCTGAACAAAATACAAGACATACAAACTAATAAAGATAATACGATGTCGCAAATGGATCATTACAACAAATGAATTGGAGGATCAACAAAAATAACATTAAAAATACATGGAATGTATTAAATACCCATTATTAAAAAAGGAAATGGAAACGCACAATAAACAAACAGTTTTCTGTCAAAAAACGATACAGTAGTTTATGACATGACCTCAGTTGCCGAAGATTTCAATAAGTACTTTGTCAATGTTGGTCCTTGTCCTAGCTGGGGAAATTCCAAATACTGGTTCTAGTGATGGTGTTGAAAGTAAAGATATATATGTGAAGGAAATTATATTTCTTAAGAGGGACTGATGAAAATGAAATATTGACACAGTTAAAAAACTTAAGAGTAAAAGGTCTACAGACTGTCATGATATTGACATGTATACAGTTAAAAACATTATTGAATGTATAGCCAAACCACTACCTCACATCTGTAATCAGTCAATACAAACCGGTGTATTTCCAAATAAAATGAAAACTGCTAAAGTCATACCAATACATACATCTGGAGATAAACATGTACTGTCAAACTATAGACCAATTTCATTGCTCTCACAGTTTTCTAAAATACTGGAAAAGATATACTCTACAAGACTAAATGACTTCATCACCAAAGAACAACATACTATATGAACAACAATATGGTTTCAGAGCAAACAGAACTACATCATTTGCAGTTATAGAATGTATGGAACACATTACTAAGGCAATAGAAAAGAAAGAATATGCAATAGGGATATTTCTGGACCTTAAAAAAGCATTTGACACGGTTTGACCATGAATTATTAATTAAAAACTACAGAGATATGACATTAGAGGTGTTGCACTATCATGGCTATCCAGCTACCTACATAACAGGGAACAGTACGTTTGAACTACAAAGCCATAAATCACAACTACTGCAGGTTACATATGGGGTGCCTCAGGGCTCAGTCTTGGGGCCATTACTATTTATCTGTATATTAACAATATATGTGAAGTATCAAAAACTATTAAAACCATTCTTTTTTGCAGACGACTCACAGTCTACTCTGCTGTGGGGACAATATAGAACAGCTATTGGTCACAATGGAGAAGGAACTGAGCAGGATGAAGATCTGGTTGACCAAAATAAATTAACATTGAACGCAAGCAAAACCAAACTCAGAATATTTGGGAATCGATCGACCAATACAGAGAGAAAATCACTATAAATGGCGTCCAATTAGAAAGAGTATCGGAAATAAAATTCCTTGGAGTAATCATAGACAATAAATTAAGTTGGAAACCACATATAATCTATATCAAAGCCAAAATATCCAAATCAATAGCAATTCTGAATAAAGCCAAATACCTAATTAATCAAGCTTCTTTGTTTATGCTGTACTGCTCCTTCATACTTCCATACATGATGTATTGTGTGGAAGTTTGGGGGAAACACATATAAAACAAATACACATCCTATCTTCATTCTGCAAAAAAGAGCCATACAAGTTATACATAAAACTACGTACAGAGAACCAACAAATAAATTATTCATCAAACTAAAAACACTAAAACTACAAGACCTGGTTGACTATAAAACTATTCAAATTATGTTCAAAGCCGCAAATCAACAATTACCTCATAATATCCAGGGACTTTTCACATGGAGAGAAAGCATGTACATGTTGAGAGGAAACTGCATTTTCAAAAAACCACCCGTACGAAAAAATGCAAACTTCATTGCATCTCATCAAAAGGTGTTAGTCTGTGGAATAACTGTAACGATGCACTGAAATATTGTACAAGTCTATCTAAACTGAAAGTAATATTTAGGAGCCAAATCATTAATGGTTATGAACAGGACCTGTAAAATCCCATTTGTTGTTATTTCTTGTAATTGTAAAAGTAATTTCTTCTGAATATATATATATTATTGTTGTATGTTTTTGTTTCTGACATGTTCAATAAATTGACTAAAAAAAAAATATATATATATATACGTCAGATAACCATTTATTTACAGATACTGAATGTCAAGGGAGGGGTGAAGAAGGATGAGGGGATGAATGGATATAGGCAGGAAAAGATTAATGGATGAAGCAACAAAAGGAGGAAGGGGTGTAGGGGGAGGGATAAATGGTCAGAGGGATGTAGGGGGGGATGAATGTATGATTGAAGGAAGGGATGAATGGGCAGGGACATAAGGATGGAGGGATGAATTAATTCCTTTCTTAATGAATACATTAATAAAGGAAAGGATGGATGAAAGGATGTAAGAAGGGGGAGGGATGGTTGAAGGGATGGAGGATATAGGGAAAGGATGAGGTAGGAAGGGGAATGTATAATTGGAGAGGAAAGGGAGGATGGATGTGAAATCAGAGCCAAACGAGGCGGATGTGTTGATGTGTAGAGGTGTAGTGTGTAGTTATAGAATGCTACTTCTAATGTGTGTTCCTCTTCTAAACATTGACTTCTCCCAAGCCCCTCCCTGATCAGAAACACTGTGTGCAGGTAATGCCATCAGACCCATCGCTCTCAGGGCGGTGTCCGCCATCGCCAGAGCCCTCCCTGGTTTCCCCATCCTGGCCACGGGAGGGCATCGACTCTGCAGAGAGCGGACTGCAGTTCCTCCACGCCGGAGCCTCAGTGTTACAGGTGATAAATGAATGAATACATGTTACTGTTCCTATGATGCAGTTCTTGGTTTTAATTACATATTGTAAAATGGCTACTACTGTATGCATTTTTTTTACTTTTCACCACATACCGTTTTCACATGGTGGAATCAGTTATTAAGTCTTTAAAGAGAGAAATTCTGCAAATCTAGTGTTCCTCCCTCTGGTTTTGTCTGATTTTCTCCCTGTGTTTGACTCCCACAGGTGTGCAGTGCAGTCCAGAACCAGGACTTCACAGTCATTGAGGATTACTGTGTGGGTATGTAACTGTTTCTGCATGTTTTGTATTTCAATCGAAGGCATGCACTGAGCATTGAGATGTATTATTGCTAGTTTACAACAATGATCCAGAGGCTGGTTATTCGTGCCTTGTTATCTCAACAGGATGTACGCTACATTATTTTGAACTAAGTCAGCATTGACTTAAGAGACTGAAAACTCCTACTGGTGTAAATAAAGTTACTATAGTAACTACCACCTCACTAACAAAGAGCTTTTTCAACCGTACCTTTTTATCACGTCTGGAGAGTTAACCAACATAAACATTCTCCAGGCAGTGAACCTTAATGCTTCAGCTTTGAGACAATGAAATGATATAATAATAGCATAATGGTGGATATGTGTTTGCAGGTCTGAAGGCCTTGTTGTACCTGAAAAGCCTGGAGCTGAGGGACTGGGACGGCCAGTCTCCTCCCACAGAGAGACATCAGAAGGGAAAACCAGTTCCCAGACTGGAAGAGCTGGTGGGACAGGTAGGTTCTATAGAATAATAATTAGAATAATTGTGGTCAGATATCCTACAGCTTTTAATTGAGTTGAGATTATTCAAAATGATAAGCTATTTAGCTAATACATTACCCAGTGTCCTCTTAAACTTCTAAATAATTCATCTAAATCAGCCCCACTGGGAGTACATATATGGCAATTTCTGGTAGAAAACTGAAATGTTTGATCCCAAAAATGTCAGAAATGTATTCAGCATCCTCAACAAAAAAACAAAAACACTCCAGAATTGTTTTTAATTGTCTGCATAGGCTATAATGCCATTAATGCTAATTATTGCAAATTCAAATTCAAAAGGTTTAATGTCATAGCATATACACTAATTTAATGTCATAGCGTAGCAGAGTCTGGTATATATACATCCAATTATCCATCCATCCAATGTGTACCTTTCTATCTATCACATTTACACTTTTGAATTATACAGGTGATAACATCAAACGGAATAAGCAACATAAAATAGAGGTTTGGGGGCATAATCGTAGTAACGTACAACATTATTAAATATCTTATTAGGATAATTGACAAAATGATGGTCAGATACAGACACTACGAGAGGGCACTTCAGTGTTAATTCCAGTCTGAATGCTGGAATTACAGGATGAGTCTCAACAACCTGTCCAAAAAAACCTTCTATAAATACAGTCGAATTAATGATTCACGTGTTTGTCCTAAACAGCCTCGTAGCTCTCTACTGCCATCCCCACTCCCTGACAGTCTGATTTCGGTGTGTGTGTGTGTGTGTGTGTGTGTGTGTGTGTGTGTGTGTGTGTGTGTGTGTGTGTGTGTGTGTGTGTGTGTGTGTGTGTGTGTGTGTGTGTGTGTGTGTAGAGCCTCCCTAGCTTTGGTCCCTACCTCCAGCAGAGGACAGACGTCATCGCGGACTACAAGAAGAAGATCAGAAACACAGGACCTGAAGTGATAGAAACCGACATCAGACAGGTCAACTTGTCCAAAAAACCTGTCCCTGCTGTCAAGGTGTGACACACACACACACACACACACACACACACACACCCACACAACACACACACACACACACCACACACACACACACACACACACACACACACACACACACACACACACACACACACACACACACACACACACACACACACACACACACACACACACACGCTATTCATTATTGTGCTTTGTTGTGTAATAAAAGTCTTCTAACCGATTACCTTCCTGTGTTTTTTGCATACTGTGTGTGTTGTAGGATGTGATAGCCAGGGCGCTGCGTCACATTGGAACATATCAGGATCTTAGTAACATGGAGCAGGTAACAGGATTTTTACTCACATAATTTAACATAGCCTAAAGTCCACGGCAAGTGTTATGGTCATGTTTTCATGGACGTTTATACAATCAGACTTCTTTCTGCTACCAGAGCAGTCACCCAAAGCTAAATCCGGGACCAAAGGTTTTGATCATTCGAAAATAATGTATTTTAAATTTGAAGTTTTGATCCTGAACTTTGAAAAATACAATGAGGCATTAAAACTCTAAATAGTATTGAAAAGCTTTTTCAGGCTGAATATTATTTCACATTTATTGATTTTTTTATATTTGTGTCATTCTTTTTTTCACATGAATATTTTTATGCTTTCAGACTAATTTTTTTCAGGTTTCCAACTTTTTTTTTCTCATTCAGATTTTTTCACTTTCAAATCGTATTTTGTCGCCACCAGGTTTCAGGCATGTCAATTGCAGCTTGGATGTTTACATTGTGTGACACAAAGAGTAAAAAAACAAAAAAAACTGATGTTGGTTCATATACAATAAAAGGTCACAGATAATGACTTTGAAATAATTGATCATGAAAAGCTCATAATTGTGACCCCCCCCCCCCCCCCCCCCGTGTCCTCAGGTCCAGGCTGTGATAGATGAGGAGATGTGCATCAACTGTGGGAAGTGCTACATGACCTGCAACGACTCTGGTTACCAGGTACGTCACTCTGCCACAGTCTCTTTACTGTTAGGAAGACTCGGTGGGGTAAAGTACATTTACTCAAGTACTTTAAGTAAGTCAAACATTGAGGTACTTGAACCTTATTTGAGTATTTTCACATTATGCTATTTGTTGAACTTTTTACTCCACTATTATCCTACATTATTATAGGCTGAGCTACCCAGTAGTATGTAAATAAATCCATTAAACCCCACCTTCACCAGGTAAAAAACTGAGGTGATGAACACATGAATGCACCAATCATTTTGATAAAATAATTTTAAATGAACTGGTGTTTAAATGTACCTTTCTACATAACATATTACTTTTGGTACTTAAAGTATATTTTGATGCTAATACTTTTTACTCTTACTTAAGTATCATTTTGAATGCTGGACTTTTACTTAGCATAGTATTTTCACACTGTGGTATTGCTTCTTTTAGTTAAAGTGGACCTATCATGCTATATTTGACTAATATATTGTAGGGCCATACCTATATAAAACATGTCTGTGAAGGTTTTTTTCAAAATACCAAACAGATCATGCATTTTAGGCCCCGGCCCCACGAGGACGCATACGGTAAAACGCAATCGCAAAAAAGGCTTCCATCCACACGCAATAGACACCGGAAAGTATGTGTTCACACGAGACAGCTCCGTTTAGCTCCAACCGCTGGAAAAGCTGCAGTACATATGCCGAGCCTGTACGTGGCACTGTAACGGTACGTCCACACTGCAGCTTTTCAAAAATCTTGAAAATCTTGGAGCTGGGCGTGTCTGAAAGCTTGGGGATTTTTTGCAAGCAACGAGACCAACAACCACTCACATGAATCTCCCGCCCCCGACATACAAAGCAAAAAACCCCGGGGATTTTATGCGAGCAATATATATATATATATAAACTCCCCCAACAGGCGAAAACCTACCAGTTTCACCCACTGTCTCTGCCACCTCCCTCCATGCCTGGTTCCTCCGGTTTGTATCCCGTTAATAGTTCTGGTCGTAAAGAAACCGGGTGATTTGCTACCGTCATTTCTCGTTTGGAATATGAGGAAATGAACTGCGGTCTGGTTCTCCCTGCTTACACGCGGTTTGATTGGCTAGCGCTTCTACTGTCAGATTTGCATAAACGGGATTTGATTGGCTGACGCTTCCAGCTCAGCTTCAAAAGTAGAACATTGCTCAACTTTTGAATCCTGGAAATCCTGGAAATCTTCGCTTCGCTCCCCCACAATGCAGTTCGGCGACAAGCGAGGCAAAGTGACGTCATCCCCATTCAAAGTCAATGGGCAGAGAAGCGTTGGAAGCGGTTGAAGATTTGTTTTAAAGCTGCAGTGGACGTACCGTAACTTCCTCCACCAAAAGCAGCGAGTATAAGATCCCCCCCCGGATGTGTAAGGCACAAACAAACAAACAAACAAGGTAGAAGATGGCTGATATTTGTGCAAGAAAGGAGGTATTTTCGTGGACTGATGATGAGGTAGAACTTCTACTTAGGGTCACATTAGACTACAAAACTACCAAAACACAGGATAATGTTGACTGGGAGTCCTGCAAGTTGAAGTATAGCGCTATAGAGGACTTATTTCAGGCGCAGTATCCGATCCGCCATTGTTGTTGTTGTTGGCGAAACACATCAGCAATGACGCGGGGAACGTGGAGGTGAGCAGGAGAGGTGGGGAGAGGCGGGGCTATTGCGCCATCATTATCAGAAAATGATCGTATAGTCAGGGTGTAATAACGGAGCCGTTGGACCCCCCAGAGTGTTGCGTATGCCGTTCTATCCTCCTCTGGACCCGTTATCGTTACCGTAGTCGTTTACTGCCATATTCTGTCGTCCTAGTGTGGCCAAATGGTCTATATCAGTGGTTCCCAAACTTTTTGTGCCCAAGGCACACCAAAGGACAAGTAAAAATCTCAAGGCACACCTATTGTGCAAAATAGCCCTTATAACACGTGTTATCACTCATATCATGTAAAATATCTGTAAATGTGCATAATTATTTACTAATGCCAAATAAAATGTGACAAAGACAACTATATTACTCGTGAAATATTTATTAACGAAATATTTCAGAAATTAATTTGAAACTTTATCAAATTAGGCTTCATCAAAGCAGCAACACACTCATTTAAACCAGACAGGTCACAACATTAAAATGAGGCAAAGGAAACTCAGCAGAAATTCAGCACAGAGAACTGTCAATGCAAGGAAGCTGCATTGTCCATGGTCCTGAACTACAAATTATAAATTATAAATGTATTACTTTAAACGTGATATAAACAAACAACAAATAGCGTGTGCGGTAGCTTCACCTTAGCATGTGTTCTTTGCAGGAGCTTGTTGAGGTTTGACCACGTGGTGTTTCCAGCAGTGGATAACAGCTTCTGGCCTGGACACAGTTTGCACCTCACCGTCACATTCCTGTCTATTCTTCGGACGAACTCAAAGTAATGGGCATACCTCCACCCCTCGAAAGTTATCGCTGACTCAGCCATGTTTATGCAGCACTGCACGTGGAGATGTGGACGCACAAGTCGCGCAGATTACGTACATATAAACCTACAAAGTACTGATAGTAAATTAAAAAATAATTATTTTTGTGTAGTTGTATATTGCAAGAATAACGTATGGTTGCACAAAATCCCACGGCACACCCGGACTTGGACTTCGCTGCTTTTGTGGCAGACTACAGCGCCACTTACAGGCCTGGCATATGTACTACAGCGTCTCCAGCGCTTTCGAGCGGCAATGGCTGTGGCCGTGGCCCAACCTCTCATTCCCCTGATAGGTGGAGAGTTGCCCATATAGGCGGAGCACCCCTTTTCTGACGTCAGAACAATTAAAATCTGTATCAGCTCCGTTGCAGCCCCGTTTTTAGAGATTTGGGTATGGAGGAAAAGAGAGAGGGTTGTGTTTGCTGACACTTGGTGAGTTCCCTGGAACACCGGGGACACATATTCATGTATAAAAGACGTACAAAAGTGCATTTTGCATGGTAGGTCCCCTTTAAGTAAATAATATGATAATTATTCTGTGTATGGTAAGACTCAGTCCTGTAACCCTACGGTCTCTCTGTGCCCCCAGGCTATAACGTTCGACCCAGAGACCCACCTCCCCAAAGTGACTGACAGCTGCACGGGCTGCACTCTGTGCCTCAGCGTCTGTCCCATCATCGACTGCATCAAGATGGTCACCATGGCAAAACCATATAAACCCAAGAGGGGAGTGCCTGTCAGTCCTGTCTGCTGAAGGGACGGACTTCCCACCTATTTAATAATAGAAACAGATATTCTAATGTTTGTTTTAAGTCATCTGCAACATGAGGTTTGAGACATTTGTTGCCTTCTAAAATTGATGGAATTAATTTGGATGATGTAAAGCAGGGCTATCCAATTGGCGGCCCGAGGCCAAATCCGACCCCGGGGTGATATTTACTGGCCCTTTGAGATTAATGTTAAAAAGTAATCTACTTTTTTTTTGAAAGATTTTTTTTTGGGCCTGAGTGCCTTTATTCCAGAGAAGGTGTTAAATTGAGAGATAGAGGGGAAGACATTGCCTGAAAACTTCGGCACGCTCGGATTTCGAACCCACCTACTAGCTACTGTAGTGACAACTCCTGTCATTTATTGCATCTCTGCGTGAATGATTAGATAATTTCACCGAAATTAAATCAAATTAAATTATGTTGATGGTTAAATTAGCTTCACATGTAGGCCTACTGAGTTCTGAACTTGCCATTTAGATCTATAAAGGCTTTGGGGCTATGTTGTTTGATTTAATTAAAGACAATATATGCACTCCACTATGCTGTTGTAGTATTTACTGTATCTGAAACTCTTAATATGATTGCTCATATTCCAAGCCATCTTTTTCCCGGCCCCTTGCTTTGGATCATTTTCATCAACCGGCCCCCATTCCAAACTAATTGAATAGCCCTGATGTAAAGAGTTGAAAAGTGGTATAAAGATTACATCTCATTTGGTTTTTCTGCTTGATAAAAAAGAATGGTAGGGTTTTTTTGAGAAATGTAGTCTTGATTATAGGAAATACTACCAGCAATCATTTTGTAACGTCAATGTTTACAATAATGATATCAATATTCATTTTTCAACAATTCAACTGTTATTCTGACGCAAGTTACGAAATTGTGAATTATTTATTGTAACCCTTCTGTAAACACTTTATGTGAAACGCAATAACAGACTTAAATTACTTTTTTTAATGTGCATTAACTGTATGCTAAATGTATGTGTCTTTGATTGGGTCTATGAATAAAATAAAAGTTGTCTTATGCAGCAGCAGGAGCAATCATTTATTTAAAGGTCCCATGTCATGGCCATTTCTACTGATCATAATTCCATTGTTGAGGTCTACTAGAATAGATTTACATTGTTCAATGTTCCAAAATAACATTGGTTTCTCACAGCATCTCTGTCCTACACGGCTTGTTGGAGCTCCTAATCGCTGTAATGGTGTTGTAAGTTAGCATCGAGAGCAGCATACTTTAGTTCTAATGCTTCCAATTTAGCTGCACGTTCCTTGTTTCGGGTGGATGCGTACAGAGTGGTGTTGCTTCTAATAAAGCCCTTTGTTGCCTCCCACAAAAATCTCGGGTCAGACACTGACCCCTTGTTGAACCCCAAAAACTCACAGAGTTTAGTCTCAAACTGAGACTTGTATGTTTCGTCACGCAGCAGTGAGGAGTTACATTACATTACATTGCATTTAGCTGACGCTTTTTTCCAAAGCGACTTACAATAAGTACATTCGACCAGGAAGACACAACCTTGAAGAAAACAGAATCATATAAGTACATCAGGTTTCATAGAGCCAAACATTTCAAGTGCTACTCAACTGGCTTTAGGTAAGCCAGTCCTTTATTAGTATAAAAGTGCTTCGTTAATAGTTCTAACGCTCGAAGTGGAGTCGAAAGAGATGAGTTTTCAGTTTGCGCCGGAAGATGTGCAAGCTATCTGCCGTCCTGATGTCAATGGGGAGCTCATTCCACCATCTTGGAGCCAGGACAGCAAACCCACGTGTTTTTGCCGATGGGAACTTGGGTCCCCCTCGCAGCGAGGGCGCAGCGAGTCGTTTGGCTGATGCAGAGCGTAGTGCACGCGCTGGGGTGTACGGTTTAACCATGTCCTGGATGTAGGAAGGGCCAGATCCATTCGCAGCATGGTAAGCAAGTACCAGTGTCTTAAAGAGTTAAAACGCCATCTGGGAGCTCTAGTGGGGACAGCCCTAAGTGTGACAGAACAGTAGATGGGTTTGTGATCAGTCCATGTAACTGGTATATAGAAAGCCTTCCGAACATTATGAAATAGATCTTTGGACGCAAAGATAAAATCTATCCTAGAAAAGGATTTATGTCTACCTGAGAAAAAAGAGTAATCTTTTATGGAGGGATTCATCACACGCCAGATGTCTATCATATTTGTTTGGGCCGCCCACCTGCGTAACGCATCAGAAGCGAGACGTTGGTCTCTACTCTCTGCCCCACCTGTTCTATCCATACTGCTATCCCATACTGCATTGAAATCTGCGCCCATAACCAGACGAAAGCCTGTGAGATCCCGTAGAGTTTTGGTTAATTGGTCATAAAAGCCAGCCTCAAAAGTGTTGGGAGCATAGGCAGAAATCAATGCTATATTCTGCCCGTCCAGACGAATCTTGGCAATGGCCAGTCTCCCCTCTTTGTCTGTCCAAGAGCCGATCAGATCAAATTTCAGCTTGCGCCTACAAACTATCATCACACCCTTGGTCTTCGTAGGAGCAGACGAAAAGACAATAGGGTGATAGAGCCTATTTGCAAAGCGGGCCGCATCCTTGATGAGTAAATGTGATTCCTGTATCATGGCAAAGTCAATATTTCTCTTATGCAAAAATCCTAAAATAGTGGTCCTTTTATGTGGGATATTCAGTCCCCTGGCATTAATGGAAATTAAATTGAGATTAGTCATAAGTAGAGTAGTGTAAGAATACAATATAAACTATAGTCACCTCAACAAGCAGGATATGGTGATCTGGATCCCAAAAAAAACCTTCCCCAAAAAAGAAAAAACATAAAACATAAACAAACTCAAAAACAACCCAAGAAAAGTGAGGAGATATGTCCCTCCTCGACATTCCTGATAAGTCCCTAACTGGACAAATAACTCAAATCTGGGAACTCTAACTGCCTAAGAGGGGCAGCACCATCACCAACCATTAGATCAGGTGATATCTGTTCATTGCTAGACAATGATCTAACGAACTGCTGAGCAACACGTCAGCGTAGTGAGTCATCAGAACACATGCAAAAGATCCATCACAACATCAAATAATCAAGAGAAACATTTAAATGTGGCCAAGTAACGTAAGAGCATGTGAAATAAACGAAAAAGAGATACAACAAGATAATAGTTTGTACCACTTTGACATGGAATGTCGATATAAGCCCAGTCATACAGCCTGCCCAACACCTACATGCATACACTCGCACCAGCACTCTCCCACCAAGCCGATACACATCAGCGTCCGTACACTCTTAACTCCATCCCGCGTATAGGCACAAACCCAGGCCGTGCGCGGCCACCACGCGATACACCCGCGAGCACGGATGCGCAATTATGGCACTTTGAGCTTTCCATACAAATAGACACCCACAAACCTATGCCACAAACACACCGCCAGCGCGACAACCACACACGCAGCCCACACATACACACAGGACAAATTATGCTTGGCTAGGAATACAAGAGAAAGACTTACCGGTCTACATATGGTCAGTGCATAATAAAAGAATTAAACAAATAAATGTAGAAAGAAAAAGGCAGTCCAAAAACTATGGTCTACGTATACGCCCCGTGGGTCGGGGGTTCCATCCAGACAGACAGCGTAACTGAAACTTCACACTCCCCCCCCCCCACCGCCCTTAGAATGTTATGCCAAACACCTACGAATTATTAAATAAAACCGGAGCTCAAAATGTCTTACCACAATAATGCAGTGTTCTTCAGGGGAGGGGAGGGCTAATAATCAGTTTACTAAGACACAGTCCGCTGTCCGTGATAACACTTATAAGTTTATAAACTTCTGATGCACTGCATAGCCTTCTTCGGGTCGTCAAAGCGGTGCTTAGTCCCACCGGGTGCAGTGAAGGACAGCACAGCCGGGTATCCGATGCCAAACGGGATCTTAGCCGAGTGAAGTAGCCGTTTACATTCCAAAAAGGAGCGTCACCGATCTTGCGTTGCCTTTGAGAAATCCTGGTAGAAGCTTATTTTATGGGTCTTCCACCTGACATCTCCGATTTCCCTCGCGACGTTTCTCATGTGCTCCTTTTGCTGGAATCTCAGGAAACGCACCACGAAAGGTCTCGGTGGAGCCCCGGGCCTGATTGGCGCTAGAGACCTGTGAGCACGCTCCAAATCCAGGCCCCCAGGAAAATCCGTCTGAAGGATGTCTGGCAGCGCTGTCCTCAGGAAGGATAAAGCATCTTTCTCCTCAGAATGCTCCGGGAATCCATAGATGCGTAGATTCACCCGCCTATCCCTATCCTCGTATTCCACTAGCTTAGCATTGAGCGTTTCTACCTCCGAAGCCAGGGCTGGCGGAGAATTGCGGCGCCGGTCTTCTGTGTCTTCCAGCATATCCAGCCGGGCCTCAGCACTGGTAATTCGGGTAAGCACGTCAGCTAGCTTCTCCTCAACAGCAACAACGGCTCTCCGCGTTTCCGATAGCTCTTTCCGAAGGTCAGTAAAGTGCTTTGTTTGGTCCTCAGATAGCTTTTGAAGAAGCTCGAGAATCGCGGTGTTGGTAGGCTCAGTAGCAGCTGAGTTCAACACCGACACGTCCGGTGAGACATTCGCAGGCTTCGGGCTAGCATTAGCCTTGAGAACCAGGTGTTGTTGAGTTGCATTAACTACGGTTTTCGGAGTTAATGCAACTAAACACACCTCTTTCATAAATAACACACTTGTTCTGCAATAATGTTTTATGTTTCCTGTCATTTTTGTTAGGAAAGGACATGCCCGAAAGACACGACTCAGCATCTCCTCTTTCTCTGAGGGTCAAGAAGAACATCCAAGAGGAACATTAAAGGCGGATGTTATGAGATTTTAAGACCAGTACAGGACATTCACTAAGAAACTACTTATATTGTGAAAACAAAGATCTGCACACCGAATATTTTTGTAGTCTATCAGGACCATCATTTGTTTGTGACGCTGCCTGCACCTCAAAGGGGTGGTTATAGTCAGGCTTATAAAGTGTGGCGAAAAACACAGTCAGCTGATGGGATGCATCTATTTCCACATCTACACTCCATCAGCTGATTATTTCTATTTGCCTCACTTTATGAGCTTCACATCACTTGTGCCTTGTACCGCAAAGTTTGCAACGTCACAAATAAATGGGGCCAATCTTCAGTCAGATGTGAATGTGTAATCTAACATTTTCAGTAAGAATAATGGACAAAAGGAATGCAAATACAATTTATTGAAATGTGAACCAAAAGTTAATCAAACATGTTTTAAATAAAAAGCACATATGGACAGAAGGTGTAAACCTATTAAATGTATAAGTAAACACATTTAGTCAAATAACGTGACAGACTAGGCCTGTGCAGTTGATATCAGCTATGCCCAGCATGGGCTCCTCCATCAGGCCTGGTCCTCCTCGCTGAGGAAAGACCCTCAGTCCTCTCCAAACCAACAGACAGGACGTCCATCACACGGAGGTTTCTCCCTGAAGTCTCTGCAGCCCTCTGGACACCACGCTGTCTCAATCCGTCCACACTGAATATGAGAGGGGGAAAATGAAAATAATAAATGCTTTAGACAATAAGAAATATAAAGTTAACTGTTGAGTTACTCAGTTTTTTTAGATTATCAATACTATTACTGTATAACTAATATCTCAAGAGGCACATTCAAATAAAGATTGGTCTTTAAATACATTTTGTCTTTTTAATTGTTTGTCTAAAGTCAAGGATCTAGAACTGGTACTTAGATTGAATGATACAGTCTGGTTATAATGCTGTTTGGAGGAGGCCTCACAGGTAAGAGCACTAACTAGCTACCATCACATGTACCTTAGCTTGACTTAAATGTATTAAACGTATAATTAAGTGATATCAAAATATAAATAACTAATGTCATGCAAACATATTAATATTTGCTTGATTCCAGAGTTGAATTTAGCACAATTGCATACAAACGTGAAGGGATTTTAAAATTCTGAAGTCTTCGTTCTAAATAGAAAATAGCATGGATAATTTACAAAGGCTTTAAAAACACAGCAGGAGCCAAGACAATTA